TGTCTTGAGTGTTCCTAGCTGTGAAGAGCATGCTGTTGATTTATAAAAGGATTTAGATAATTTAGTGAGTTGGGTAAATAAATGGTAAATGGGTTTTAATTATAATAAATGCAAGATAATGCATGGGGGGTTATCATACTTTGAATTATAAGTATAATTTAGATGGGAATAACTTTAACAGTGTCACTGTATAGGTCACTGGTTAGGCCACATTGGAATAGTGTGTGTTCAGTCTTGGGCTCCTTATCTTAAGAAAGACACTGAATTGTTGGAAAGGGTTCAGAGAATGGTTACTAGAATGGTGCCTGGGATAAAGGTGGTTGTCAAATGAGGAGAGGCTTAAAGCTCTCAAATTGAGATATGATTGAGGTGTTTAAGATCGTAAATGGAATAGATAGTGTTGATGCATCATGTTTTTTTCATATTTAACAGTGAGAATAGTAGGACTAAGGGATAGAGGAATAAATTTTGGCAAGGTAGGAGTCACCTTCAGCTAAGACAGCTTCATTTCTCTAACAAGGGTAGGTGGCCTTTGGAATGGGTTGCCTTCAGATGTTGTGGAGACAGTAAATTTAAGCGAGTTTAAGAAAAAGCTTGATAAGTATATGAATGATAAGGGCTGGCTTTAAGTTCTTTTAAAAATTATTTTAAATTAGTTTAGAGGATGAAACAGCCAAGATGGACCAATAGGTCCCATGTGATCCCAAAACATTATGTTATATGTTATGTTATAAAATCATTATGTATCAACCATAAAGTTTATTACTAATAGAAAGTCAAATCAACTGCTGTTCCTTATTATACCATAGAACTGATTCACTCCCCCTTGTTGTTTGTTTATGTGTGACTATATATATACAAAGAGACAATTCAAGTAATTTATTTTATGTAATTTCTATTTTGAATTATTTAAATGAGGGAACAACCTTATTGTTGATAACAAAAATGCTTTAAAAGCTCCTTGATGTAAACATTTGCTTTACAGTTCTACCAGACAACCTTCATTAAAACCTTTTGTTGAATATTTGACTATTATCTTATATTATTCCTGTCTTTCAGATTTTACTATACTTACTTACTGTGCCACTGACAAATTCTAATGTACATCATGAGAATTTTAACTCAATTAATATAATTCACAAAATAAAAATAGACAAATAATATTTGAAATAATTAAAAATCCTACATTTTTTCAAACAGCTCAGATATTCTTCTTCAATGATATAATATGAGAATAAGTACTACTGGATTGTTCAAAACATGTAGGATTTTAAATATTACATTTAAAATATAATTTATTTGGTATATTCTTATTTTATGTTATGTATATTAAGCTGACTGTGAATTAAAATTGTGTGAAAAAAGTATAAATGGTGCATATATTATATTCATAGTATAATTCTACAATAATGTGTCAAATTCTTTTCCTATTATTTAGTAACTACAGTATTGTTGTTTTTTATTAAAGATGCAGACCAAAGTAAAAACATCCTACAACATAGGTATTTATTGAGATATGAACACTTCAAGTTCAATGCATGACATACGAGGCCTGTGAGAAAAGTATCCGACCTTTGGCCGGGGAATAAAAACTGGCATACCTGGAGCGTTGGAAACCTAATCACCCTCAAAGTAGTCTCCTTGGGACTCCACACACTTCTCCCAGCGGTGCCGCCATTGTTGGAAGCATTCCAAGAAAGCCTCTTTCGAAATGGAGTTTAGCTCGGCTGTCATTACAGTCATAATGTCCTCTCTTGTCTGAAATCGCGTTCCTTTCAATGGCACGAGTACGCACCACAGGGTCAAACAATCACCAAAGAGTACTACAGGGATGTCCTCCGTCGCCTACGTGATGCTGTGCGGCG